GGATGTGCTGATGGCCATGTCCTTGTCCCCACAGCACGTTTGACGTGGCCGTGGTGGGCGCAGGGATCGTGGGCTTGGCTGCAGCCCGGGAGCTCATCCAACGCCATCCCTCGCTGGCTTTGGCCGTGCTGGAGAAGGAGCAGGAGCTGGGTATGGATTGGGACAGGACACACTGCCAGAATCCCAATATTCCATGGATATCCCTGTGGAGGGGTCGGCTTCTGGGCAGGAGYTGTGGGAGAGCTGCCCTTGTYGCTGGARTGTGGGATGGATTTCCCATCCTGGAAGTGTCCAAGGTTGGACAGGGYTTGGAGCMATGAGGGACAGTGGAAGGTGTCCCWGCTCATTGCAGGGGTGGAATGAGATGGTTTTTAAAGTCCCTTCCATCCCAAACCATTTGGGGATTCTGTGATGGTTCTCCCCCTGGCTTTGCCCTAACATGGAATTCCTCCCAYCCTTCTCCCAAGGATGTTTCCTTCAGCAGAGAAGCGGAGTTGTCATCAGTCTGTGCTTTGCTGTTTGGACTTCAAATTAGGAATTTTAGGTTAAAAAAAAATCCCGAATGTTGCTGCAGCACTGTGTGAAAGCTGGGGCTCCAGCAGCACAGGGATGTCAGGAGAGCATACAAGGAGGATGAACAACCAAAGAAGGGGTTGTGGAAGGGTAATAGCAGATACTGCATGGAGCTGGAGGAATCCCAAGGAATGCACACTCCAAACAGGGCCTGTGATCCCAAGCTCTTGTTTTAAATAGCTCCATCAGCCAGGCTAGAAATTGCTCTTGAGATGTTCCATGAATGGTACAAAATGACGTTTTATCCAGAGTCACACATGAAGTCCTTAACAGCTGTGTGAGTGCTAAGCAGGAATGACCTTTGGGCATCAACATATTGAGAGCCTGACCAAATCATTTCAGTGAAAATACTTGTGATTGTTTTCACCTCTATTTTACCTGTTTTGCAAAGAGGAAATAGCAACCTAATCCAGTTCACAAATACTCGGAAATCCTGCCAGCGCCTCCGAAGGGATTGTGGATTGCACAGACATTATATTAGATRAGGCCTTAAGGGGTGCATTTCATTGTAAAAATTGGATTTCTTAAAATTAACTTCAGCCTGTAAAACATTTTGATTGATTGGCCCATTCCTGAAGATAAAACTGGTGGTTTTGGGGTGTTTTCCCTGTTGATCCAACACATTGTATGGATTATCATTAACYAAGGCTGGCTGTGTCAGTGTTTCTCTAACCTTTTGAGACCAAGGGGAGGAATTAATTGTGTTTGCTGTGCAGTTCCCTCATTTTATCATCTCTTATAAAGCTCATTTAAGACAAAACCTCAATGAACTTGTTTTTCTGACAGCTGAAGTGATGAAATGGGAACAAACATGTCCTAACAATGTGTTTTTCCTTCTCTTTAGCCCATCACCAGAGTGGACACAACAGTGGTGTGATCCATAGTGGGATTTACTACACCCCTGGCTCCCTGAAGGCCAAGCTGTGCGTGCAGGGAGCAGCCCTGTGCTACAAATATTGTGACCAGAAGGGAATTCCATACAAACAGTGTGGGAAGGTACAGGAATTCCTGGCTCTCCTTTGCTTTGCAGTCATTCTGTGTGGTCTGTGTTACAGCACAGGCCTGGTTATGGGKTTTTTTCACACTCTCCAAGTTGCACATAATTTTATTTGTATCACCTCCTGCCCCCAAATCATCCCTTCCAGCTAATGAGTCTCAGTCTGCTGTCATTCCTCTTGGAGAAGGTTTTTCATGCTCTGAACCATTTCTGTTTTAATGTGTCCTTGGTGCAAGGCAGGAACCAGAGCTGGGCAGATCATTCCAGGTGTGCTCAGACTCTGAGCAGTGGAGTTCTCCTGTGTCCAGTTCCTGCTTGTTCCTGACACAGGTCAGGTTTTCCAGCTCTCACTGGGTGTTGAGCTGCTGTTTCCACAGGACTCTATCCTAACCCCAAGGTCATGTCCCTGAGTGATAAATTTGAAGTTGAATTCCATCGTTTTGCTAAGTTGGCTCTGTGTTCTCTCTGCTGCCACWCTGAGCACAGGGTGGCACTATGGATCTGTGCAGCAGCACACCTGAGGGGACAGCCAGTTCCCAGCTCCCAGCTCCTGTCCTGGAGGATCAGCTGGAGCCTGGCTGGCACTGAATTTGTGTGTTTTGTACCAACAACAGGGTGGCAGCAGGACCAGGGCAGTGCCCA